CCCTGCTCCCTCCTCCCCTCTCTCTGCCACCCCTCCTACCATTAGGTCCCCATTGTGACTTTTCTTCACAGTTGACCATGAGCATTTTTTTCCATTCCTCTTTCCTTACCTTTCGACTCTCAAACAAATTCGTTAGCAACCCTCATCACCAGCAATCCCTCCATAGACGTGAGGAGTCTCTATGGACTTGCTATTGACATTGACAGCGCCCTCTGGTTTTGCATGAACATACTTTGATTTTGTAAATTATTTCCCTAGCTCGAATAACGAGACAGACCGTAAAAAAAAAAAAAAAAAAAAAAAAAAAAGGGAAAAAAGATGAGCCAGTGGGGCTAAGTTCCTTCAGTCTTGGACTTGGTTTTCTTTGGTTTTAGGGTTTTAGATTCGGTTCTTTTGAGAACAACTGGACTTCGTTCGCGTAGTGGGGGGTTAGGGTTTGGTTAGTTAGAAGTGGCCTCAAGTTCGGGGGACTCACATAGGTGTTCCTGTTTATAAGTAGGGAGCTATGTCCGAGAAAATAAGCATGCTATATCTACCGAGCAATTTACGGACTCGACAGGATTTAACATAACTAATTAACGAATTAATGGTCGCTTTGTCGTAGAATCAACACGCCTCTAAGAGTACTGAGCTTGTTTCCTTTCCCGGTGGGGACCAGGAGCTCGCCCTCGGTGCTCCTGGGAACCAGTTCTGCCAGTGCTGGGAGCTCATTCTGGTCACACTCTGGGAACACACTCTGCTCATGCTGGTAACTGGCTTTGGTCACACACAGGGAACAGATTCAGATTCTGGTCCTACGCTGGCAATTGGTTTTGGTCATCCTTCTTGGAAATTATTTTGGGCGTGCTTTGTTTAACGACATATAATATACAATGATCATTGAATTATAATTCAAAATCGTATTGTTTTTAATTATAATTCAATGATTATTGTATATTAATAAATGGATAAAATTGAGGATGAAAAAAAAATATTATGTTTTTTTTCTCAAAGTTAATTGGCTACATTAGTTATTTAATGAAATTAGTCTATAATACATAAGTCTGAATATATACGTTTTACTCTATAGCAGTCGATACGATATTCTTGAAATATTTGAATAATTGATCAATAAAAAAGTAAGGAAAGAGTCGATACCCGAGTGGCTACCGGGAACGGACAGTAAATCTGACGGTTATTGCCTACGCTGGTTCAAAAATCATATTCTCATTGATTTGGAAAGTAAAGGATCTTGGATAGGCGGAACTACTGCACCAAGTGCAATATTTTTTAATGCATTTTGTATCATGAGCTTATCTAAGGATGTGCAAAAAGTTATAGCTTCAGTTTCGACACTCCAATCAAAGTTAGTTGACTACACTAGTAATTTAATGAAATGATTCTACAATACATGAGTTTGAATAAATACATTTTACTCGATAGTAGTCGATACGATATTCTTGAAATATTTTTATTCAATGAAAAAGTAAAGAAAGAGCCGATATCCGATTGGCTAAAGGGAACAGACTGGAAGTTCGTTGGTTTTGCCTACATTAGTTTGAAACTCATATTCTCATCGATTTGGAAAGTAAAGGACCTTGGATAGGTGGAACTATTGCACCAAGTGCAATGTTTCCTAATGGGTTTTGTATTTTGAGCTTACCTAAAGATATGCAAAAGGCTACAACTTTAGTTTCGACACTCCAATCAAATTGGTTTCTAATGCATGTAACTACGATGATTTTTAGTTATGATGCTTTATTTTTAGGATCTTTACTCTCAATTGCATATATATACACACATCTATATATATAGTGGTTGGTGCCCACCTCAAGGTATTAGTTGTTGGGCAGTTGTTGATGCTTAACCACAACCGGGGTTAAAATGGAGTATCGCTTACATTGTAATCAGTTAGGGGATTTTGCAAACTGTTGAGAGTTCAGCCTCCTGATGAGTGGGTGAAACTCCAACGAAACAGTTTGTCACAACCCCTCGTTTATTGTCCTCTTCTGCCTTTCTGTCGGCGGTTTACCAGACAACTTTGTTTTACAATATATGTAATGAAACAGACCTGCCCAGTAAACCGTAGGCAAAGAGGGAAAGGAGGACAACAAACGAGGATATATATATATATATATATATATATATATGTATATCTGTTTGTCGGTATATAAATATGTATATATATTGCCAAACATAATTATCCAGTAAAGCGTAAATAGAGTGGGAGAAGAGGGTCATTAACGAGGGGTTGTGACAAATTGTTCGTCAATGTTTCACTGACTCAACGAAAGGCTGAATCCTATATATCATAATGCATATATATAGCCTCTTGATGAATTGATGAAAACTTCGTTGAAACAATTTGTCACAACCCCTCATTTGCTATCATTTTCTCATTATCTGTCTGCAACTCATTGGACAGTTCTTTATGAATATATATATTGGAGTCCCTGCTCTGAATGCAATCCCACACGTTGAGGGGTTGGAACATGATTTTTCCGGATTGCAGTTAACCCCAAAGTGTAGACCACATGGGGGATCTGCAAATAGTTGACCAACATCGTTTGGATGAATTGCAAATTTGTGCCCTGCCACGCTATGTATCACCCGCGGCCGCGACCGCGGGGTCAAACTCAGCGGGCGGTCGTGATCACGCCCGCCTCCCCTCCGGTCGCGGTTGGGTGCGGCCGCGACTTTCAATAATTTTTTTGAGAGTTCAAAAAATCTCAAAAAATAAAATAAAAAACACGATGTTGTAGATCTTTTTGAGATCTATACTGCGTTTTTTTTTTTTTTTCCTTCGTCTTTGAATTTTAAAAATTTAAAACCTAATTTTTCTGAAGCGAAAGTTGTTGTTGTTTTTTTTTTAAAGAAAAACTTATGTAACTTATGTGCTTTTTATTTCAAATTTAGTAAAGTTTTTGGATAAGAGCACAAGACAAAAGTTGTTCAATTTATTTTTCTGCATTTTTTTATTTTTTTTTTCATGGTCGCAGCCACGGCCTTGGCTGCGCATGGCCGCCGTGGGGGGGGGTTCATAGCCACCATGTGCTGACCACATGGGTGATATGCAAATGATTGACCAGCAAACAACCCAAATTATTTTGGGCTTGCAACACCATCTGGGTGACCTGTAAATTGTTGGCCAGCATCCAACAGACCAGTCCAAAATCGTTATTAATCTCTATGGTATGACTGCGACTAGTATCTGTCTTCAAATTTGTCACCGCTCGTTTTATATCTCCGTTAGAGTTCCCTGAAATTGCTTTTCTATGCTGATATTCTCCACCTACAACCAGAGGATTGTAATTATATCAAGGAAAGAGGTTTTACCATTATTGTCCTATAATGAGGGGTCGCTAACTTGAACTAGGCAATGCTCGAGCAGGTGAGTGGTTTAATCCACCATCCCACATCTATGTCTGCATTGTGCACGGATTTGACCATTACATGACCACTATACATGCCTCTAAGCACTGGGAGTCGTGGGACAACGGCGTCATGCTCCGTGACTAATGTTTTTAATTTCTTACATAATGCTGTCATTTTCTCACCACACCAAACTGTCCATTATCTCTGTGCTGAAGCAGGACATGTACCCACGCTCTGCTATCTTCTCCTTTGGACATCTACAAACAATGTTACACTCGGATGTAGCTGCCATCGTCTTTGTGACAATCACGACAATGACATGGTTTTTGCATCCATGTATATAGAGGATTGTCCCTCCGTTCCTCACTGCAGGCACCCTCCGCATCCGGACATTGTATATTCATTTTGCGGTCATAGGCACTATACTGAATGTATGGTATTCCGTGGTGAACGTGTATGGTATTTTGTGGTGAACGATCTTCTTTTATTTTTGTCTGCAATCAACATGCCATTTGTCAGGGGTGTATTGTGGGCATGGTCAATGCCAACCGCCGTGACAATTGTTACCTTGAGGATGTTGAGCTAGGTGTTTCATGTGTCCATCCACCACATCCTTACAATGTACGTCCTCTTTGTCATAAATGACGGACGGTCCTCGTTCTCACAGCGTACAACTAGGTTGTTATGGCACACGGGGATGTAGTCAATGCTCGAGCAGGTGAGTGGTTTAATCCTCCATCCCACATCTATGCCTGCATTGTGCACGGATTTGACCATTACATGACCATTGTACATGCCTCTGAATACTGGGAGTCGTGGGACAACGCCGTCATGCTCCATGACTGATGTTTATAATTTCTTACATAATGGTGTCGTTTTCTTGCCACATCAAACTGTCTATTATCTCTTTTATGTCCTAGATCATTCCTCTGACTCGGTGCTGACACAGGACATGTACCCATGCTCTGCTATCTTCTCCTTTGGACATCTACAAACAATGTTACACTCGGATGTAGCCGCCATCGTCTTTGTGACAATCACTACAATGACATGGTTTTTGCATCCATGCA